TTGATAGTCACTTTATCCACTTGTGAAACCGAGTACATTGCAGCAACATCAAGTGTGTGTCATGCAATTTGGCTCCGCTACATATTGCAATTTGCAAGCTCTCGGCATGTCTCAAGAAGAAGCACCAACAATATTCGTGGATAACAAGTCAGCTATTGCATTAGCAAAGAATCCCGTGTTTCATGATCGAAGTAAGAACATAGACACTCGATATCATTTCATCCGGGGAAAGATAGCAAAGAAGGAATTTCAAGTAGAGTATGTGAAGACTCAAGACCAAGCCGCTGATATTCTCACAAAGCTACTCAAGCATGATGTCTTTGCAAAGATGCGGAATCTACTTGGTGTTGCTAAGTCAAGTTTAAGAGGGAATGTTAGAATTTAAACTTGTCTTAGCCCAGTAATTGGGTACATTAGAAGTTAACTTATTGGGCTAGTAGTTGTATGACAGATGATAAATTAGTTATCTCATAAGTTAGACTTAGTAAATAAAGGTCTAAAGTACTCTTTAGTTAATTATGTGCCTAAATAATTCTAGAATATTCCTAAGCTAGAATCCAATAGAACATTGTAGAATGCTTAGGATATAGGAGTGCCTAGAAGGATCCTATGAGACCTATAAATAGAGCACTTCCTCATTTGTAACACAAGCCAAAAGCTCTAAATCAATAAAAGTTCCAAGTTCTCCCAAAATCATCTCTCTCTAAAATTATCTCTTCCACACACAACCACCCAATCATAATCCTCATAAATTAATTTCTTCCAACACGGGAATGCAGAGAAATCTTGTCCCCGTAAGTCGCGAAGCAATTTGGAGGGGAGCGATAGGCTATTTGGACCTTGGCTCGGGGTCACAAAGGGAGAGGGTTCACAGCGAAGGTAGCAAATGGCTAGTTCCAGCTGGGGGCAGACAATGGAAGGAACATGAGGCAAGGATTTTTTATATGGACTGTGAAACAATCCAGGGGTAGACAAGGTTGGATGGCAGGAGGTGGATCAAAGCCAACCAGTGACAAAAAAGACTAGAAACGCAAACGTATAGCAGGTGGAGGGGATGAGGATAAAGCTTAGGATATGAAAGTAGAGCAAGGATAACAAAAAATGAGTAGGAGGCGGACTACATGTCAGCCCCCCCCCCCAACACACGATTGAGATATTTGCAGACTCACCAGGGAGGGAATGACTCGAAAACTCCCTGTTATTTTCTAGCACTTAGTTTCATCAGTTTTATTTTCAATTCTCAATACACTGTTTTTGTGTTTTGTGTTTTTGTCTTGGGACATGCAGGCTTTGGTAACCGATTCTGTTGGAAAATGTGTTAAAATTGCATTAAATGGTAATTTTGGGGCAATTTTTTGAGTGAGATCCACTTCCGATTTGTTAAGGGCTACAATTCGATATGTGGTACACTCAAAATGGATAACGGGTGAATGAGAAATTGATTCTCGAAGTTTACCCGTTAGAATGGAAAAGCTGGGAAAAAATACGAGTTTCTAATGTGTTATTTCCCACACCGGAAAACCCAAGGGATTTGCAACCCCTTATAAAGGGAAGCCTTTTTTAAGGAGTTAAGATTCCTAAGTGGAAAGGCTCTCTCTCGCGCGCAGGGGGGGTGCAAATCAAATCCCGAAACGGAGAAGAAAAATCACGACTTGCGGGCGACTTGCAGACACGAATGTCGTCCAAAAATCGTATCTTTGACAGATACGATCTAGTTTTTGTTTCTTCCCGTAACGTTTTATTTTTTCCCAGAACTGCTGCTCGGACAGAGCACGTCTTCCGCGCAACAGAACTGCTCGAACACGGACAGAAGGCCTAGGGTCTTCTGCTACGAGGCTCTGACAGAAGGCCTAGGGGTCCTAATGGACAGTTTTACGACATATTAATGCCCAACATGTTGGTCATTTATGTCCAACGTTCGGGTCCATTAAAGGTCAGTTAACACCCCACAAATCCTCTTATAAATTGGCTAGCATGTGGTTTGCAACATACACATTCACACACGAACTCACGTACTTTTGAGCTCTCGAAAAACACTGCTAGCATTCTGAAAATTCCTTCTGTGTTCATACTTGTTCTCGTTCGCCGGAACAATTCGTTTGAGTGCTCAAACAATTGTTTGTAGTCATCGTATCCTGGGAAACTATCGTTGCAACGCTCCTAGCACCCCAGGAGGCAACAAATACGTTTTAAGGACATTGTGCGTAGCACGAGTTTTGGCTAAATTCTGCTCCATCTCATTTCTTGTTTTTCTTAAGTCATTTATTTAATTGATTTATATTAATTAATTTTCTTTATTTTCCGAAACACACCCAACAGATTCCAGCTTTGAATCTCTCACATGTTCAACGAGTAGGGCAGTCTATTCTACGTCTGATTTGATCAGAGAGTGAGAAAGCCTTTTGGCTATAGATTGTCTGAGGTGAACTCTTGGGTAGTGGGAGACTTGGATGTTGGCCGGGGTGTGAACCTTTTATTTATTTATTATCTTAATATAAGTTTTTTTCTAGTCAAAAGAAAAGGTTCATTAAAGGGTTAATTGTCAAAATAGGACTAAAAGTCACTCACTTTGCACAAATAGGACAAAAAAAAAACTATGTTTTCATAGGACTAATTATGTGTGTCTTGGACATATATACCCTTATAGCTATTGAACTGTTTTAATTCATAATAAATTAATAAAAATTCTTAAAAAATACTAAAAATAAAAATAAAAAATATTTAAATAATAATAAAATAAAAAAACTTTTTCTAAAAAATTTAAAAAAAATTAAAAAAAATAATTAAAAAAAATAAAAAACGCAAAAGAAAAATTGTCGCCTCTGCCGCCGCACCACCACCACCCCCACCTCCAGTCATCTGGGGGAAAAATGGCAAATTCATTAGGAACGCAATATTTTTGGCAGAAGTCAGAATGATTCAAGTTGGCAGAATGAAAATGTTGGCATTCTCAAAGAGAAATATGTCATTTTTTTTTGCATTTTCAGGAAAAAATGATAGTTTTTAGTAAATATGGCATTTTTTTAACGGTCAGAGGTGGTGGTGCAGGGAGGCAGTACAACCACCTCATGTCACCGGGGGAAATGTCAAATTCATTACGAATGTGATATTTTTGGCAGAAGTCAGAATGATTCAAGTTGGCATAATGAAATTGTTGATATTCTCAAAGAGTAATATGCCATGTTTTTGGCATTTTCAGAAAAAATGACATTTTTACACCAATCGGAGGTGGTGGTGCAGGGAGGTAGTACAGGCGGTGGGAAAGACACCCATATTTTTTTAATTTTTTTTATGGATTTTTACTATTTTTTATTAATTTTTAAAAAATTAAAAAAATGATTTTTTATTTTATAAAAAAAAAATATTAATTTTTAATTATTTTTCTACGAATTTTTGATTTTCTTTTCAAATTTATTATGAATTAAACATTTAATTATGACTTTTGACTATCTTTTACTCATATTTAAAGGAGGGGTAAGAATGGAATGAAGAAATATGTATGTTTCCAATAGGACCAATATGGTCTTATTTTGGAATAAAAACATAGCAAGTCCTATTTTGAGTTTTTGTCATAGTTTTAGTCTTATTTGAAGTAATTTCTATTCATTAAATTGAAAGTCATGAAGCCCTTGGCAGGTCTTAAACCCATACATGCACTAGGGATGACAACGGGGCGGATCGAGAACGGTTTTACATATAATTGTACCCGCCCCGTTGGATAATCACCCAACCCGTAACCGCCCCATTACCCAATGAGTAGTCTTTACTCAGATCATAACCGCCCCAATGGGTAACGGATATAACTACGGGTAACCGTGGGTAATCGCTTTATTAAACGAGTCATTGATATTTTAATATAAAAACAATATTTCAAAATGCGAAAAATGGCATCGCCTAGACGAATCTATACTTAGACGCCACTTTAAAGTTTCATATATCTACAAGGTGAGAAAGAAGATAACCTAATTTAATTTGAATCAAAATATTTAATATGAGAAATAATTGATCACGAAAAAAACGGATAATAATTAATAATTAAACAAGACCATTAATTATATTATGAATTTTCATTCATACACTAGATTAATACGCCTATTATCCATATATATAGAATGGAAATAGAAAAATATCATCTTTTAGTAGTTGTGGGACAAATACTAAATAAAAATGTAATAAAAAATAAAAATAAAAATAAACTGGGTGAGTGGGTATGGGATGGACATGTATAGAAATGTAACTGCTCTGTTACCCGCAAAAACAAAAGGTGACAACTCCGGTACCCTTCTAAAAATGGGGTATCGTACCTATCATTCATTTGATTGGACCACATCACTTTATTATTTTTAATTTAGATTTAAATAATTCAACTGCTACATTTTTATTTGTCCATTTGGACAAAGGTATGGTACCTTATGGGTACCATAGAATCTACTAAATCAAAATAGGTACTCCCTGCCACGTACGTGGTACCTGGTCAATGTAATTTTCCCGTTTTGATTGGGACAAGTTCGATCGGGGTATCCCGTGTAAAGTTTTGAGTGCGTGCAGCTTGCAGCACCTCTAGGTTCTTTTTGAGTTTTTTTGGGCCACAACTTTTAGCGTATTAGCCTCTTTTGCGATTTGTGTGTGATTGTAAAAGCTTCTTCCAACCCTCTCTTATACGTTTGTAACAGGAGGGGGTGGGGGGAAGCTTTAAATTTTGTAACTTTTGCTTTGATGGTATATATATTTACGGTTCATAAAAAAAAAGTGAGTAAGCGAGATGAAGATCCAAACTTGCGGTTGTATGGGCAGGCGAAACGCGTTGATTCTGCTTGCTGCTCTATACCACATGTTATCTGTGTGTGTGTGTAGAGCTTGAAAGCGAAACAGTCGCACTTAATTGGCCGGAGATGATAAAGTGGTCAAGAAAGGACCGAATTGAAACGCGCCATTCAATTATTGACTTTTATTCATTCATCCTTCATTCAAGTGTTATTTATTCATAGAAAGATACTCCAGGCCGGTACGTGCGTATATCCGTTTCGATCAGTTTTATAATACTCCGTAAAAATTTGCATTCATTCAATACTCCGTACGTCCGCCGATCCGTGTGATGATGGTGAAGGGCCGCATTGCCTCCTCATTCCTTGTATTCAGCATGGCCGCCGCCGCACACTTGCATGCCCATTTCATTCCTAATGTTACCACCTCCCCGCCGCGCACCGCCGGCTGGGATGTTTTCAATACGTACCTCGGCTGCCATGCCGGGGAACACGCCCACGGCTTAGCCAGGCTCAAGAAGTACTTCCATTACTTTGGCTACATCCCCGCCGCCTCCAACTTCACCGACGACTTCGACGCCGTGCTCCAGTCGGCTGTCAAGACCTACCAGCTCAACTTCAATCTCAACGCCACCGGCGACCTCGACGCGCCCACTATCCAGCACATGATGCGCCCCAGATGCGGGAACCCCGACATCATCAACGCCTCCTCCACCATGGCTTCCGGCGGAAAGCCCCCCCGCGGATCTGCCATACACGCGCTGCGCCATTACTCCTTCTTCCGGGGCCGCCCGCGGTGGCCCCCGGCCAGCACCCACTTGACTTACGCCTTCTTGCCGGGGAATCAGTTGACCGACGCCGTCAAGAGCGTCTTCGCGCGTGCCTTCGCCAGGTGGTCGGCGGTGATCCCCCTCAACTTCACGCACACCGCCACGTACCCATCGGCGGACATCCGGATCGGTTTCTACGTCGGGGACCACGGAGATGGCGAAGCATTCGACAGGTCGATGGGGACGTTGGCGCACGCGTTCTCTCCACCGTCCGGCCACCTCCACATGGACGGCGACGAAAACTGGGTACTCGACGGCGACTCCCTCAACGCGCCGGCGTCGGTGGATCTGGAGTCGGTCGCGGTTCACGAAATCAGGCATATGTTGGGATTGGGTCACTCGTCGGTGGAGGACGCAATCATGTATCCGACACTCGCGACGGGAACCCGGAGAGTGGAGCTTGCCAGAGATGATATCCAGGGGATCCAGGAACTCTAGAGGGTGTATACCGTACATCCGGCTGTAGGGCGAGCACAGTACAGCCGACCCAGTAACATGCTCGAAAAACAATTCGGTGGCGTTTTTGTAATTAACGTAAAAATTGCGGTTTCTGCTAAATGAGCATTAATGTATTGTTAATGAGCAATAGTCCAATTTTAATGAGTATTAAGCGTCCAATAATGAGCACCGTGTTACTACAAGAAAGCTGATATCAAAACTAAAAAACGGTGTCATTTTCGTAATTTCAGTCAAAATCGTGATTTTCGTTAGATAGGCATTAATACACTTTTAATGAGCATCAGATGTATTCTACTGAGCATTAAGAGTCGATTAATGAGTATTGTGATATCAACTTCATAAATTGTAATTCACTTTCTTTTTCTTCTTTTCTCTTTTATAAATAAAATCTCAATAAATCAGTACCAAATGAGCTTACATAAAGCACAAATGAGCATTGATATGACAATCGTAAGATTTGTTAGTTGAGCATCAAACATCATCTATTAAGTATTAGGATTATGCAATTTAGTGAGCATCAGGCATGTTTTGTTGAGCATTGATAGCCTAACAATGTGTGTGATGATCTCCTTTACATATTCGAATTACTTTCCTTTTCTTATTTTCCCTTTTTAAGAACTTACTATATATTATCTTTAATCGACTCATATGGACATCAATATGTGAATCTAATGTAATATGCAACTTTTGAAATATGCATTGATATGACATTTTAAAAGTGAGCATAACATGAGCACCAATTGAGTTTAAGTTACTTACAAAATGAGTTTTGATATGAAAATCATAATTTTTTTAGTCGAACTTCAAGACATTTTTATTGAGCATCAAACCTTCTCTATTGAGTATTAGAAACATGCAATTGAGTATAAGCATTTATTTAATATGTTAAAATGAGCTAACACGAATACAACATGAGCATACATTACTTACCAAATGAGCAATGATATGAAAACAATAAGCTTTGAGCATCAAGGAATTTTTGTTGAACATCAAATTTTCTTTTATTGAGTATCAGAAGCATGCAATTGAGTATCATGATCCCTGCTCCAATGTATATAATCTAACTCTTATGCGAATCTAAAATGATACTTTTGATATCTGCATTAATACGACATTTTAAAATGAGCATAAAACGAGTATCAGATGAACATGCGTAACTTACAAAATGATTATCGAAAAACTCATGCACATTTATTTTGCATTATACTCATTGTAGTATAGCACAAAACTCATGTTAGTAATTAGCACAAAATATTTAATAAAATAACAAGTAGTCGTCTTAAAATTAAAAATAGAAGAACAAAACATTAATACCTAAAATGTTTATAATGCAGAAATTTAAAATACTTAAATTAGAAGTTTGATTGAAAAACAAGAAAAAACAAACTTGAACATTAACAATATTTAAGATTATACATTTGCATTATAATTGAATAAAAAATCAAAGCATGTTAAAGAAAAAATAAAGAAAAGAAAGAACTCAAACAAGAAAACAACAAAAGCTGAAAACAATGAAAAATGAAAAGCCACGAAAAGAAAAGCAGAAACGGAAGTGAAAAGCAACGAAATCAAAGAAAAGAGAAAACCAAAAAAAAGACAACGGAGTAAAGCCCGTAGCAGCCATCGGCTAAAAAAGAAAGAGAGTCGACGGAAGATGGGAAAAGAAAAGAGCAGCAGACATTAACTTAACCTTAACCCTGAAACTTGGATTTAATTACAAAAAAAATCTGGCTGTACCATGCCCTAGGTACAGCCGGTTGTACCTTATACATTACGGGAACTCTACGGGTCAAATCCCACTTTTCAAGCTCCGGCCAACGCGTTCTGGCGTGGAGACGATTCGAGTGGGGCCCACACACTCATTTTACTTTCCACCCTCTGGTTGCCATTTGTATGTTTATTTATTGTTTATTAGTTATTACTAGTATTAAGGTAAATTCTATTATACTCATAAGGTACCATACATTTGTTCACATGGATCAATTAGAATGTAGCAATTGAATTATTTAAATCTAAATTAAAAATGATAAAGTGATGTTGTCCAATCAAATGAATGATAGGTACGGTACCCCATATTTTAGAAAGGTACCGGAGTTGTCACCTTTATTCAATTCTTTGATTTCAACAAATTTAAAACTTGTTTTTTTTACATGTGAGTTGTTTTTAAAAAGGAAAAGAGTCAAATAAGCCCTTGAACTAACAAAAAAAGTGCAAACAAGCTCTTATATAGGAGGTTCTGTCCGGACGTCGCCATTTGGAGAGGTTCCCGGTAGAATTTTTTTGATGAAATTTTTTGAGCATCTTCTTCATTAAGTCTAGTTTAGTCATACCAAATTTCAGCTAAAAACTCAATCGGGAAGACAGTCAAATGAATTGTTGAAGATAACTGTGCATTTAAACAATGCAGTATATTTTAGAAAATCATTTGACTGTCTTCCCGATTGAGTTTTTAGCTGAAATTTGATATGACTAAACTAGACTTAATGGAGAATATGATAAAAAATTCCATCAAAAAATTCCACCGAGAACCTCCTCAAATGATGGTGGCCGGACAGAACCTCATATATAAGGGCTTATTTGCCCTTTTTCCCTTTTTTAAAATGTCGAGTTGAAATTGATATAAATGTACATGTATTATAAATTTATTTGATATGTGAGTTGTATTTTATGTTCTGCATTGAGAGTGTAGCTAATGCCATAAGACAAGTCATAAACGTTACTCCATCCGTCCTGTTAAGATTGTTCCATTTTACTTTTTCGGTCCGTCCCACTAAGATTGTCTCATACCAAATTTGGTAAAGTTTACGTGGTTCTAAATCATTTTTACTTTATCAATTTAATATTAACCACATACACAACTTTTTATTGATTTGTGTGGCATTCCCTCTTGTCCTATTGTTAGTGGAACAGATGAAGTATAAGAAAACAAAATAATTTCAAATATATAACCAAAATAACACCAGGGGACAAAAGTATGACTAGTAACTTTAGTTATTATAATAATGTTCATGTACTACATTGTAGTGATTATAAAACTTACTCATAGTAATTTATAGTCACATTCCCGTCCATATATTTTTTATTAGTACTACGATGTAATATATTTTTTTTAGGGAAACATGCATCTTAATATTTTAGGAAACTCGAGTAATATTTAATGAAAGATCTCTAATAAACCATGTATCTTAATATTTTATTCACTTATATGTAATACGCTAAAGTACTTGTTTTTTTAACACTTCCTTGGCAAGTGTCTAGAGCACCAATTTTGTACGTGGTCATTTTCATAAAAAAATACTTGTCACGCCCCAGACCGCATCCGTGCCACGCAGACAACCGCCGTACAACCCAATAAGAACAACGTAGTTCATTCCTATTAAATCGTACAAGGCGTCCGATAGATTCTATTGCCAAACCGATTACTAAACCCATACAATCAACATCAATATATTTCTCAAAAAAATGCGGAAATAAAATATGTTTGATGATTAGCCACACGTGGCAAACATGAGCACGCAGTCCCTTTAATGGTTTAACAGAAAACATTGTGTAAGGAATAAATGTAATTAGATTTTGATGATGCTAGGATAATTAGATTAGAATTTTAAAGTACCCCAACTAGATTTTATGTATTAGAATTTTCAGTTGTAAGTATTAGTGTAGTCGACGGTCAGAGTTGCTCTCTTATGGATCTGATCAGAGCTGCTCTAAGAGAACTGCCTTCAGAGTTGCTCTCGGGAAGTCATGAGAGTTGTGTTAGTCTCCAATTTTGATAGATTTTGATGATGCCACTATACTAAACAAATTTACATTGAGTCTTATTTTCAGAAGTAACATTTCAATTTAAATCATAAGTGACCAAAATAAATGTACAATCTTTAAGATTAATGATATATTACCGGATACATAAAAATGCAATAAGGTATCTTTTTACCTTCATAGGATATTTAAATCCTACCGACATATATCATTTTTACTTAAAGATTGAATATAGGTCACATTTGAGATGCTCGAATACACTAAATATTGATTGGAAGACAAAAATTAAATACACGGTCCTACAGCATGGGAGGACCTCTTGGAGTGAAGCTGCAGCGGCTGAAGACACACCCATACCGCAGCCCAATCATTCAAGACAGAAAACAAAAATATTCAAAGCTCCTGCACAAGAAGACAAATGTACAATTCGTCCTTGCCAGACCCTCAACGCACAAGATTAATCCATCTCAACCAACGGATGAGATTGATCAACCATGAAGGCCTATAAATATAGGTAGAAGCATGAGTTCAAAATAAGCTTGAGCATCCTAAGTAGAAGAATACCTTCATCAAAAACATATTCGAGCTATCTAGCAAAAGAGAAAGTGCAAAACTCAACTTTACTCTCTGCTTAGCCTCATGCTTCACTAAGCTCTTAGATTAGATCAACACTTTCATATTTTTAGAGCTTAGTTCATAGTTGGAGATTAGAACTTTCTTGTAATATTTCACAAGTGGTTGTAAACACTTAGGAGAACAGTTGTTCGAATCCTAAAGTGTAGTTAGATAGATAGAGTACCTTTTGATCCCCACTGGATCGATTGAGAAAAGTCTAAGGACTGAGTAACTTTGAGTGGTGTTATACTCATTGTGAAAAACCTTCAATCTAGGCCTAAGTGTTGTAAAGGCTAGATTGGCACTAAGTGTATTGGGCTGAATACTTTAGTGAAATCCATCTGAAAGAGGGTGGGACTGGATGTAGGAGGATTACACCACCTCTGAACCAGGATACATCGTGTGTTGATTCTCCTTTACTCACCACAGCACACACCCAATACTTCTCACTAAAGGGATCGTAGTTTGCCAGCAGCATCCTAAGCAGTCGTCTTAATTGACTCTACTGCTTATCCTACTGCTTAATAACTCACTTTTCCTTGAGACTTCTGTTTCCCACAAGCTTTACATATCACTACTAAAAGGTGTGATTGGTCAGTCCTCAAAGATACTTCTTTATAAGCAGCAGACGGCTTAGCAGTTTCCTGGGATTACCCAACTGCTCAGACCACTGCTCAGGCAAAACTCTTTACTACCTTCAGCTCAACATATATTCAGAAAGCCCTCATCATTCTCTGCAAGGCCATATTATCATCTTTCTCAAACTTCTATTTTCAACTGGCAGTTGCCTCAGCAGTTCCTTGCCATCTAGCTAACTGCCAAGCCAACTGCTCACAGTTTGAAGTCCAAACATCATTGAAGGTAGAAAGTTGTCACACACTCATTAGAAAAAGGGTAAAGACTTCCGCTGTGCATCTATTAATCTCTCAAAAGATTATAGATCAATTCATCTAGAGGTAAAACTTGAAAAAGGTGAAAAAGATTTAAAAGTCTATTCACCCCCCCCTCTAGACTTTTACCCTATCCAGGACCATCAAGTGGTATCA